AGAGGCCAAATAGCACTGCCTCACCTCCTCGGATGCGGGCAGGTAACCCCTATGGGCCTTCTGCTCCCGCTCCGGGAGGGGCACCAGCCAATACCACCCCTCCCCTTGCGAGAAGCGCCATCCCCAGGGGCATCACACAGACAGGCCCTTTATGATTTACGTGCCTTTCTTGACTAGTGATCTGTACAACTGGAAGGCACAGAATCCACCTTTCTCTGAGAAATCCCAGGCATTAATAGGACTCTTAGAAAGTGTCTTTCAGACTCACTGCCTCACCTGGGACGACTGCCAACAGCTTTTAATTACCCCCTTCACGGAAGAAGAACGCAGACGCATTCGGAATGAAACACAAAAGACAGCTGCAGGAGGGAGGAGAGTTGAGGAAGCAGAGGAACAGATTGAGGAGGAATTTCCCTCCACCTGCCCAGACTAGGGACACAATTCTCAGGCAGGGAGATCGGTACCACCAGATTCTAATTGGGGGAATTAGGATGGCTGCTCGCCAGCCAACTAACCTTTCTAAGGTAACTGAAGTTAACCTTTCTAAGTAACTGAGGGACATCAGGAATCTCCTAAAGCGTTTCTTGAATGAGGCATACCAGGTATACACTCCCACTGATCCTGAGGCCCCTGAGAACCAGCAGGCAATTACACAGACTTTGCTACTCAGGCAGCCCCTGATATCTGGCATAAATTACAAAAATTAGAAGGTTTTGCAGGGATGAACCTGTCCCAACTTGCTGAGTTAGCCCAGAAGGTGTTCAACAACAGGGAGGCACCGGTTGACCCCAAATGTATGCCTAAAATCCAAAGCTACTGTCATCAACCCAGCCAATCTGTTGCCAGATCCAGAAACCAAGACCCCCGTTCATGACTGCATAGATTTCACTGATGCTGTATGTTCCTCGCGACCAGACCTCAAAGACTCCCCTTTGCCAGAGGTCGATGAAGTTCTGTTCATGGACGGGAGCAGCTTCATGCAGGAAGGAAGAAGATATGCTGGGGCAGTGGTCGTAACTCTAACTGGCACCATCTGGTCACAAGCTCTTCCCCATAGGACTTCTGCTCAAAAGGTAGAACTCATCGCCCTCACTGAGGCACTAAGATGGGGAAAGGATAAGGCAGTCACAATATACACTGACAGCCGATACGCCTTTGCCACTGCACATGTACATGGAGCCATTTACAAGGAAAGAGGGCTTCTGACTTCAGCTGGGAAGGACATCAAGAACAAGGGGGAGATCTTAGCCTTACCTGAAGCCATATAGATGCCTAAGACTCTTGCTATTGTTCTTTGTAAAGGGCATCAAAAAGGGAATAGTCCCGAGACTGAGGGAAATCGACGAGCCGATGCAGAGACAAGAACAGTGGCCACAAGGCCAATGGGGCCCCTATCACATCTACTGACTGTTGCCCCTTACCCAGAACTGCCTCCATCTCTGACCTATACGGTGGAAAAGAACATATATTTTCAAGATAAGGGAGCCACTAGGAACCAACAGGGGTGGTGGATGACCCCAGATGGAAAAATTGGGCTCTCATGGCCCTTGGAAGGACTCTTCTCCACCAACTACACCACACCACACAACTAGGGCGAACTAAAATGCTCCAAGCTTTAGACTCCTACTTTCACTTATTAGAAGGGAGAAGAACTACAGAGGAGATTGCCTCATGATGCCCAGCTTGTGCCAGAATAACCTAGACATAAGGAAAGAGGAAATTATCTGGGGGACCACTGGGAAGTTGATATCACTGTAGATTTCACTGAAGTGGGGGGCTACAAATATTTACTTGTTTTTATAGACACATTTTCAGGATGGGTAGAGGCCTTCCCTCCCAGGAAAGAGATTGCCTTAGTAGTTACTAAGAAACTACTAAATGAAATTCTCCCTCGATTTGGTCTCCCCAGAACTTTAGGGTCGGATGATGGGCCAGCGTTCGTAGCAAACATATCATAACAATTGTCTAGCTACCTAAATTTGCAGTGGGAACTCCACTGAGCCTACCGGCCCCAAAGTTCAGGCCAAGTACAGCAAATGAATCGGACCTTAAAAGAGACATTAGTCAAGTTAGGATTAGAAATTTGTGGGACCTGGATAGAACTTCTCCCCTTTGCTCTTCTCCGAGCCAGGTGTACTCCATATATTAATGGATTCACCCCATTTGAAAGTTTCTTTAGAAAACCCCCACCTTTAGTACCTAGAATAGAAGATGAGAAAAAGGCAGAACTATGTAACCTTGTCTCACTTAAGTCTCTACAGGCCCTTCAAAGTGTACAGAAGGAGATTTAGTCCCGGATTCGTGCTGCCCACTCGGCCCCGGGGACGGACTTCCCCATTAGTTTCAGCCTGGGGACTCTGTGTGGATCCAGAAGTTCACTTCCAAGGGACTAGAACCCAAATGGAAAGAACTCTTCACTGTCAACCTGACGACGTCCACTGCAGTTAAAGTAGACGGCATCCCATCATGGATTCATCACTCCCACGTGAAGGCAGCACAAGAGTGGACAGCTCAGGAAGACGGGCCCTTAAGACTAAGACTCAAGTATACATAAGTCTAACTCCCTGTTTCTTCCTTTTTTCCTCTTTAGCCCAGGCATTCGACCAGCCGCAACCAAAACCAGAAGGAGCATTAATAACTTTGCTAACGACAATACACAAGGTCTTAAATAAGACCACCCCAGACATAAGACAAGATTGCTGATTGTGCCTAAACCCAAAACTCCCTTACTATGTCAGGGTAGGAGCTCCCCTAAACTTAACTGACCTCAGCAGGCTAGAACTTCAAGTCGATTCACTAGCAGAAGTAGTCCTCCAAAATAGAAGAGATTTAGATGTATTATTCTTAGAACAAGACAGATTATGTATGGCTCTAGGTGAAACCTGTTGCTTCTATGCCAAAAATTTTGGAATAATTAGAGAAAGTTTACTACTAGTACAGAGAAATTTAGATGTCAGGGAAAAACAAAAACTAGAATCAGATAACTGGTTTCATAGGATGTTCAATTGGTCACCATAGCTAACAACCCTCCTATCTGCTGTAGCTAGACCTTTAATCCTCCTCCTCCTCTCGTTAACTTTTGGCCCATGTTTCTTTAATTTCTTGTTTGCATATATAAAGAAGAGAATTAATTCTATTAAACTTTTAGTATTACGAAATAAAGGCTATGAGCAAATTCTGCATGAAGAATCAAGGATTTGATTTTTTGCTAAGGCCAGTGGGGAATGTGCTGGCTGAAAAATTACTGCTTGGCTATCGCCCATGGGAACATAGGCTATCACCCATTGGAACATAGTTATCACCCATGGGAACATAACATTCTAACAATAAGCTTTCTGCTTCTGTAGCCCTGCTTGCACAACCTAACTGTTTTTAGTATTACGAAATAAAGGCTATGAGCAAATTCTGCATGAAGAATCAAGGATTTGATTTTTTGCTAAGGCCAGTGGGGAATGTGCTGGCTGAAAAATTACTGCTTGGCTATCGCCCATGGGAACATAGGCTATCACCCATTGGAACATAGTTATCACCCATGGGAACATAACATTCTAACAATAAGCTTTCTGCTTCTGTAGCCCTGCTTGCACAACCTACCTGTGGGTTGACAGTTAGTAAATAGAAGAAAAATAGACTTTCGTGTTAAGACAGAATGAGGAATGGGATTTAGGGCTTAACAACTCTGTACCTCTACATTTCAGAGCTGCTTAATTTGGGGTCTGCGTACCCCTGGCAGACCCAGCTGGCTGAATAAAGAATGTGCTTCCTATAACTCACTGGTTTCTGGTGGTCCGTGTGTCTATTGGAGGCTGGCGGCCACGACACTGTACTAACAGTGAGGGAAATTTCTCTGTGCTGTCGGGGAAACCAAGGTGCAGAACACTAAATAATGTAATTTTATCTGTATACATTTTAAGGGCTATATATATATGTGAATATACTTTTATGCATTAGTTTTAAATTAGTTCTGAATTACAGATTCAAAAGGAAGCATGCAGTTACCTGTCAAATGACAAAACTTAAACCATTTCTTAATGAGTTTGATGTCCTTCAAGGGAAAACAATCCATGGATTGGAGGAGGATAGTGCCTCACAGGCAGTGGAGCACTCTTCTTGAGAGATTTCCGGCAAGAGAGACTTTTACAGTGTTTGAAACAGCAAAGCAGAAATAGCATGATTGCCTGGGGTTAGTTACCTGACCTTATTTAGAAAGATCAAGGAATAAGGAAGGAAGTATAGAGCCCAGAGTTGGCAAGGTGTTTGGTAATTGGATGACTGGATATACTGCGTTTCTAGTCAAGTAGAGCTTTCACAGGAACATGGAAATTCAGTTCACCTGGCGGGAATGGTTCTATCTGGAGCCTAGAAATTTATTTCAATATACTTTTGGGGAGTGAAACTTTTACCATGTTGACCCCAAGAAGGGATGTACCTATCAAAAAGGACTCATGGTTAACGGGGCCCAAGTTTATAATAAGAGTCTAGCAGCCATTATTTACTAGGGGCCTCTCACGCACACTGCATTTCATAGAAAAGCCACAGTTTGAGCCGCCAACTCTCTTGCACTGTGTTCCTGCCATATGAGTCCACCCTTATAAAGAAGCTCCTGGTATTGTATTTGGACGAATGACTGAGATTTTCTCTGTCCAATCAGAGCTACATAGCTATACTCTCATTTTCATCTTTACACACTAGTTAGAGCAGCTCCATAATGACCAATCAGAATGGGTAATTCCAACCAATCAGTTCAGTGCTAATTGGGCCAATCAAACATTTGGATTTGGAGTTCTCATTTGCATAGAAATAGACCAAGAGGCAGGAACCTCTTTATATAAACCAGCCTCCCCTTAGTCTTGGTGAGGCATACACTTTCAGCTGCTTTTCCCCTATTTGGGCTATAATACCTTAGGTTAACACTTGAGCTGCTTCACTTGAATAAAGTCTCCCTTTACCAAACCTCAAACTGGGGACTTCTGTTGGCATTGGATTAGAGCCAGAGAACCGTGGTTGACAACCGTTTTCAATAGTATGCCTTTCTACACTGAATTTTTTGCCATATGCATGCATGTGTTGCTTTAGACTAATTTAAAAAGCAAAAATGAAAAGCATGTAAGAAGAAATATACTAAAATGTCAATAGTGGTTTTCTCCTTGTGGGGCATGTGCTCCCCCCCCCCCACTTCCTTGTACTTTTCTATATTTCCAAATTGTCAACTTTGAACAAATAATCAGAGGGAAAATATCCTCTATGAGCTTAAAGCTCAGCTCAGTTGCCACATTACTGTTTACTTAAAACTACCTCATAGCACTGGTTAATTTTACACTCATCCCTTCTCCCTCTTGGGTGGTAAGTTTTTTGATGGCAGAGTTTCATTCTTATTCCTCTCAGTATTCCCCTTGCTTACTACATATCACAGGGCCTTAAACAGAAAGTGTCTTTTGTATTAAATTAATCATTAAGTTATTTATAGGGGAAATTACTATTTTCTCAGGACAAACAGGTAGACCGTCTTTTCTTTATTCTATATTTTATATAGCACTTACTCAGAGGGACCCAGAGGCTTGGTTGACCTGTAATTCTTGACTTAAGTAAATAACAATAAACACCTTAAATGTTTTATTACTCGTCGTTCTCATAGAAAAAAGTTTATAAAATGTTAATGAAAACTACTTATTTTCATTTTACCAGAAATCAGTTTAATTGCATGATCTTTGTCATGAACTATTTATTTATGTTTTCAATAGTTCACCCCTATGTTAACTGGGGTGGAGGTGGAGGATACAAGAATAATTAACAACCAGTTCCTCCATCAAGTAAATTAGAACTTACTAAAGGTGAGAAAACCAGTGCAGAAATATCATAATACAAGTCAGAATACTAAATAGCATATTGATGATAAACATTTATGATTATCTGGTTTTAAGGTTCTATAACCTTTGGTGGATGAGATGGAGAGTGGGATGTTCCCTTGATCTCTTCTTCCTACTTTAAACAACCTTGCAGTTTTAAAGTTGAATACTTCTATTGGGTGGCTGTGTATAATTAGAAAGCCATGAGTCAGACTCCAGTAATGGAGCGAGAGTGGGAGAAGAGGTAAGGAAACTCTTCACCTAAGGCTAAACAAAGAAAAACTGAAAACAACGAAACTGAAATTTTGTTTCTAATTCAAGAAGCAATACTTCTTGAAGAAAGCTTTATGTGCTTGGAGGTATTATTGGGATAAAGTGCCCCCTGCTACCTTACCTCCTCCCAAATCCAAGTCATTTGTTAAAAAGGAGAAGAAAAACAGCAGTTAACAGCTGTGAAATGCCTCATTTACTTTTTACCTAAGTTATTAGCTGAATACTGCCTTCAATATCTATCACCCTACATAACCTCAGCCTACCTAGCCATCTACTTTATCCATTCAACAAGTCAAATAAGACTTTACTGGTACAATCATCATCGCCTCTCTCCCTCTGCATCCTCCATCATCCAAGGATGACATAAGCACCTTCCACTGAAGTGTGAGGAGGTGGTCTTTGATGAACCCAGATAAAACACTTAGTTAAAACCTCACAGAGCTCTCTAATTTACCCAACACTATACTTCTTTACACTAATTTGGAGACTTTTCTGATTGTTTACAATGTATCTACTACAGGCAACCATATTTTACCTGGACAATAACATGATAAAGATATTACACACCACTTTCAAGGCCCTTACTCTTTTACTGCATCCTGTTTCTCCCACATTTAATCTTCCCCCCAAGCTGATCTTGCAAACTGCTGTTATGGTAATCATCTGAAAGCATTCATTTTTATCTTGTGACTCCCACAATAAAATAACTAAAATATCTCTCTATTTCAGTCTTTTTCTTTGTTTCATTCACACCTCTTTCCTGACTGGCCTCTCTTACCTATCAGTGTTATCCCCTTTACAAGACCCTACACTTAATCATCCCTGTAGTCCTCACTCCAACAGGCCACACTGCTGTTCTTTCCCCGTAGTCCAACCATTCTTTAAAATCCAACTCAAGTCCCAATTAATTCTTTTAAGGAATATATATGATGCTTCATTCAATTGCTTATTCAATCAACATACACTTTAAGTGATTTATATACTCAAGACACTGACCTAAACATCACAAAACTGAATATAACATAGTTCGAGGCCTGAAGCTTCACATTCCTTCTCAAACTCATTTCATAGTCATTATTGGCCCTAAAACAATATAGCACAGTTTTATTCTGTAATCCTTTTATTTATAGACCCTATTTTGAGTTTGGTGTATGTGTGTGAATCACAACATTTGATAGATTGTTTGACTAGCTATCTGACATAATATTTTATTATACCATTTCTCTTTTCATCCCCCAAAGCCTTGGCAGTAGTTAAAATAGTAGGGGAATTTGGAATACAGCATCCAGTCAATAGATTATTGGTGATCTGGTTTCTAGAGTACAAATTCTCCAAAGTATATTTTACATACTGCTGCTAATAAATATATTGGTCACTTTGGTTGGCTGTGCACCTTCCAGTGTTTTTTCTTTTTTTCTCCTCTCATTTTAAAGCTTTCCAAATAGAAATATCCCATTCACTTTTTTTCCTGATAAAGTGATTATCGTAAAAATTTGAAATACAGAAAAACTGAAAGTTTCCGGATGAGCCCTCCTTCAAAAACGCCCATTCTTAACAATTTGGTATAGGTCTTTACAGATTTAAAAATATATATATAGGGGTTTATTTTTATTTAAATAGTATCGTAATCTATAATCTTTAAAGTTAGTTATATAGTACATTTTTGTCTATATTGATATGTAAAGATCAACCTCATCCTGATTTA